ACTTTAGAAGATGTGAGCTGCCTTCATGAGGTCATGGATGTTGCTCATGTCCTAACTCAGGGGCAAGCAATCCCATTTTTAAAATTCCTGCTGTGCCTCCCCAAAAACCATTTCCTAAGTCACAAATAAAAGTAAGTCATAAAAAACGCAACTCGCTTTTATTTCTATGTTTAGCCTGCACTTCATGGAGACTCATCCTCTGGGCTGGCAGCCCAACAATACCTCACAGCACTTAATAAGTTTCCCATGATCTGATAGATCTTGCCTGTTTGCCCTTCCCACTGCTGCTACTGTAAGACTCGTGTGCTTGTTCACCGTTTTATCTGAAGTTCGCAACACCAGACCTGGGATCTAGGAGTTATTTGATGAAAAGGTGTTGCGATGACTAATAATTGTCAACTTGGCAGGATATAGAGTCACTATGGCAACAGACTTCAGGGCATGTTTGTGAGGCAGCTTCAAGATTACGTTAGCTGAATAGAGAAGAGCCACCCTGACTGTGATCTGCACCACTTAGTGGGCTGGGGTCCGAGGCTGAATAAAAAGGAGAAAGCGAGGTGGGCATCAGCAGTCCAAGCTTTCCTTGCCAGGGCGGGCCAGAGCCTGATCAAGTTGCTTTTGTCAGGCATTTTGTCCCAGCAATGAGAAAAATAACTAATAGAGGTATTTAATAAATAAATGAATGAGTGAATGAATTAAAATCTTGAATGAGTAAGCTTCCTATCTTAAGCAGATGAAACAAATATCTAGCATACAAAAGACACCTAGAGCTGGCAATGTCATCATTAAATATTTGTCAAGAGGAAAAGCTCCTGTTAATAATTGCCTGTGAAGAGTCTTACTGAAGTTTTTTGATGACATCATTATGGGGAGGGCAAGAAAGGCACCATTTCTATTCATTCCTCTCACTGTTTGTATGTGCTATCGGCAACTACAGTAGCTGTCATGTCAGCCACAAGAAGCAAAGACTGAATTATAATTTGTTTTCCAGTGCTCTAGAATCTTGGTTGAAAGGAAAGTTTTCTTTTTTCCGTCTCTCCAGGGATCTTAAATTCGTGTGTGTGTGTGTGTGTGTGTGTGTGTGTCTGTGCGTGTGCGCGCGTTCGTGCGTGTACAAGATAGAGAGAACAGCTACAGGTATTTTCTTCAATATCTTTCCGTCTTATTTGTTGAGATTGGCTCTCTCATTAAACTCAGTAGGCTAGACTGGCTGGCCAGCAAGTACTAGAGATCTATCTGCTTCTGGCCCCCACCAAGCACTAGGGTTATAGATCCAGCACACAAGGGCCACAATGACTAGCTTTTATGTGGGAGTTAGGGATCTGAATTCAGATCTTCATTCTTGTGCATCAGGCACTTAACCAATTAAAACATCTCTCTGGCCTCAAACTCCCTACTTCTCTCACTATGTGACATGTTCCCATTGGTAACTTGGCAGGAGTCCTGTCTTGAAGCAAATGAATAAATACTGCCTTTCAGTGTGAGATTCTTGGACCACTTTCACATCTAGGAGGAAAATCATAGTAGATTCCTAAGGGTGGGTAGGGGGAAACTGAAGACCTTCAGATGGGTTCCAGGATTGAAGGTCATGGGAGAGGTATGTCTGACAGCTCCCATTCCACAAAGGGAATGGGATGGAACTGAGAGTGGGTATGGAAAGCTCATGTGAAAGAATGAAAACCATGACCACTTAGGTGGGAAAATGATGGAGTCCCTAAAAGTGGGCTGAGGAACTAGATAGTTTAGGGTAAGTAGCCCCATCTCTGCTGCTGCCATTTTCCTGGTCTCTCTTTCTCTCTCTCTCTCTCTCTCTCTCTCTCTCTCTCTCTCTCTCTCTCTCTCTCTCTCTCTCTCTGTGTGTGTGTGTGTGTGTGTGTGGGTACTGTCAGAAAAGCTGAAGAAGAGGAAAACTTGGGAAGTCTTTCAAGGTCTTTGTTCTCCCTTTGTCATTTAGCTGTGGAGATAAAGATCAACTTGGAGGCCATCCTTACATTTCTTCTCTGTTCAAACCAGAAAAGCTAGTGTGATTCTGATTAACTTTTGAGCAGGGACCCTATTCATCGATGACCATTAAAGGAGGATGGAAAACACTGAGAGAGTTTCAGCTAATGAATAAAATGTGTGAGACTATGCCTCTTCAGGTTCCAGTTCTCAGCCACTGCTCACTGTGAGAAGGATGCCTTGCCTGTCCAGAGACGGAGTGTTCTTCAGGAAAAGCAGAATGCCCTGCAATGGACCAAAAGTAGAAGACAAACTATAGAAGAAAGCTATAACACCAGCAAAGCCAGTCCTAGGGTGGCACCTTGCTGGTCCCTAGTTCAAACCCCAACTAAGCTGGGGAGTAGATAAGGACTAAGAAGGTTTGCTTATTATATTCACAGAAGAGTTGGCCTCCATTGAGGTCAGACTTTGGGGACAGGAAACTGCTTCAGTCATGTTCACACATGTAACAAATTGGGCATCTGGAACGAAGCTATCCTTAGGGAAAGCGCTTCCACCATCAACCTGTCCCCTTCCTACTGTGGAAGCAGGATCCAGGGCAGGGCTGATCTCAGAGGATCGTTCATTAGAACACTTCCCTTATCTGCATTTATCTTCTCCCAAGGTGACCTCATCCAGTCTCAAGACACTCTACACCAGCCCCTAATTTCTATCTTCAGCTTCCTTCTTTCACACTCCAGCTCCATTATCTCCTCTGCCTCCTTATCGTTCCCATGTGGATATCTGATAGACATCCATCCTAACCTGTGCAAACATTTGAGAAGCTTCTACAGCACCTGCTCTCCCGCGTCATGGTTGACGAGGACTCCATTCTCCCAGCTACTCAGGCCAAGCCTTGCTGCCTCACTTTGATTCACAGGTCACTTCCAAACAGTAAACCCTGTTTTTTTCACTGACTTAAGACACATCCGGTTCTCACCATCTCCAATACAGTTGTCAAGACATTAAAGTCTCTCATCATTTTGACTTCCTAACTAGACCTCTCCCATCTTCATCTACCCTCTGGTGAATTCTCTCCATGAGGCCTGTATGACTTAAACTGAAGTCAGAGCATGTCACTCTTTCCATTAACCCCTGTGCCCCCAGAGCCTTCCACGGCACTCAGAGGAAAAGTCAAGCAAGCCTCACAGCCTCTGGTGACCTGCCTGGGCCATTCCCTCTGACTTTACTTATCACCAATGTCTTCTTGGCTAACCCTCCTGCCACACCTGCATCCTGGCTGTCCTCCCAGATACTCTCCTGTTTATTCATCTTTCCCTTCAGGCTTCACCTTTGGGTGACATATTCCCCAACCGACATCTGTACAGCACAAAATATTGCTCCTGAACCCTCTGTGCCACACTCCTAGTGTGATGAGTCTCTTAGTGTGTATACTTCTTCCTTGGTGTATGTTAAGACAATGCATATTCTCGGTGATGGTCAGTCAGGTTCAGCCACAAGAAGTAACACGCATCAAGTTCAGAAAAATAGATTTACTATACTGAGGCTCAGCACACTACCTGGGGTCTGTGGATGGTCAGGTGGCAGAAGACAAGAGCCTGGAAAAGCCTTAGGGAACCACACTTTAGGGGCATTCATATGAGAAAAGGCAGGGTGGCTGGCAGGGTGAAGAGTTCAAGACGTACTAGTCTGCTTAATTCATCAACATCTAAGTTGCTAGATTGTTCCTCTTTGGCCTGGTGTCTGACACTGGATGATTAAACATTCTGTTTTTGGGGGTGCTCAGGCCAAACTGAGGAAGTGTGGCTCTAGGTTAGCTATCTTCCAGCCTGGAGAGGCTTTTTGAAATGTCAAGACAGTTTTAAATATTTACAGTATCTGTATTTTCTACCAAAACGTAAACACCATGAGAAGAGGAGTCTTGTCCCTCTCCACTGCTCTAGATGTGATACCTTGAACGGAGCCGGAGGCACAGAGGGTGGTGAACAAACATTTGACAGGTGAATGACGGAATGAGCTTCAATCTCCCCACCCTCTGATCCCAGGATTACTGCTGAGCCGCTTTTTCACTTCCATCAGCGATAAAGAGGGAGTGAGGTCTGGTGATTTTATCTGAAAAGAAAAACTTGTTTCACTTTTTCTTTTCCTTTTTATTATATTTCCTGAGACAGTGTCTCACTGTGTAGCTCTGACTGGCCTGGAACTTAGTATGTAGATCAGGCAGGCCTCAAGCTCACAAAGAGTCACCCGCCTCAGCCCCCTGAGTGCCAGGATTAAAGGTATGGGTCACCACCCCTGGCTGGGGTTTTGTTTGTTTGTTTTCTTTTGTTTTTGTTTATTTTAGTACTGTTGCTAGGATTATTTTAAACTAAAAAAAAGTTTCTCGTAATCCCAGTTTTAACCCCACCCCATATTGACTGACTCATTTAGTGAGAACAAGTTCACATACAGTAGAGAATTTAAGTGGAGGAATTGTGTCAAAGAAAGGAAGATGGAACGTTTTATCATTTATTTAAATATGAGTCACTCATATTTGGGTGTTTCTTTCAGATAAGTTTAGGTTTAGATAGAATAGATGCTTGATACATTTTGTTCATGGACACAAGTTAGTTGTCCTTTTTTAGACTAAAAGGGGAATTGTAGGAGGAAGTCTGTATGCCGCCATTAACCATGTGACTTACTAGAGGCGCATACAGATGAGGTAATAAAAGGGCGGTTTACCACACCGCTAACCACACCCACTTTAGGCATGACTAAAGACTTTTACGGCCAGATGTAAGGACGTATACGTATGTAGGCGGTGAACTACGTCACTAGCCAGGCCCACTTTTGGGCATGGCTAGGGGGCGTTACGGGGGAAGGTATAAAAGATAGCACACAGGAAGTCTCGGTCTCTTTTCCCGGAGTTCGGCTTCCGGTTCGGCAGCGGGAAAACTATTTGGCTCATCTGGGTTACTTGTTTGGTACCTTGTGAGTAATTTCTACAATAAATACTTAGTTTTACTTTCAGTAAGTGTCGCTTATTGTTACAGCGTCATTTGGAGCAACAACTCATCAAATTTGTGTTTTTAGTTTTTTAGTGAAAATAGTTATTTTTCATGTAATATATTCTGATTACAATTTTTCCTTCCCCTACTCTTCCCAATCTCCCCTTCTATCAGCATCCACACCCTTTCTGTCTCTACTTAGAAAACAAACAGAGATCTAAGGAATATTAATAAAATAAAATAAGAACATAAATAAAAAACAAACAAATCAACTCAGAATATGATAAAACAACCAAACAAGAAAAAAGAGCCAAAGAAAAAGCACAAGAAATGCATATAGAATATAGATGCAGAGTCATACACATTTACACACTCAGAAATCCCATAAAAAACCCAAAGCAGAAGCCATACTATATACTCAAAGGAACCATATGATGGAAAACAAAACAAAACACAATGAGACAAAGAACCTCCAAAGACACCACTGAACTCGTTTTAGGCTGGCCATCTAGTGCTGAGAATGGGGCCTACCCTTAACAGTGGTTTGTTTTCCCCAGTGAGACTTCCTTGAAGAAAACTAATTTTCATTTGTAAGTGATCATTAACTAGAGATGGCTTCTCAGTTAGGGGTGGAGTGTTTGTGTGTCCGCTTTTCCTGTCAACTCTACAATCCTGTTTAGTGCAGATCTCTGTAGACCCTGTGGGTGTTGCCAGTCTCTGGAAGTTCATATGTGCATCAGTCTTGTGTGTAGAAGGCTTTGTTGATTGATTTCTTTTTGTCCTCTGTTCCCGCTGGATCTTACACTCCATCTGCCTCCTTTTCCAGCAGATTTCCTTGAGCTCTGAGGGGAGGGATTTGATGGAGACATCCCTTTTAGAGCTGAGTGTTCCAAGGTCTCTCACTCTCTGCATATGATCTGGTTGTGGGTCTCTGTATTTCTTTCCATCTGCTACAGGAGGAAGCTTCTCTGATGGTGGCTGGGCGAGGCATAGATCTACGGGTACAGCAAAATGTCATTAGGAGTCAGTTTATTGCTGTTCCTTTACCAGACAGTAGGTCCCTGAGTGATCTAGTTTCAGGTTGTTGGTCAACCAAGCAGTGTTAGATATGAGTTCCATGTCACAGAGTGGGCTTTAACTCAAACCAGATATTGGATGCTTACTCCCAAAGCTTTGCTGCCACTATTGTACCAACATATCTTGTAGGCAGGTCATTCTTGTGGAATGAAAGGATTGTCACTGGGTTGAACTTTCTCCTTTGGTAGTGTTTTAGTACTGTGAATACTAGTCCACAAGGGTGAAAGCTGTAGGTAGGTACTAGCTAGATCTCTCTGTGTTCATTAAGTTCAGTAGGTGTTGTCTTCAGCAATAACTTTTCCATCAGTTTGTGAAGAGCCACCAATAGCCTTGACAATAGCCTGGGTTGTTTGAGGATTCCCCATGGGACTCCTTTGTCTGAGAACTTGATTAGATGTAACCCATTCCTGATAGAAGAAGCTTCATTTGGTGACAAGAGATGTCCAGTTGACGCTCTGTCTCCCGTTATTTGGTGATTTCATTCAGATTACCTTCATATAAGTATATATTATAGGAAGCTTCTAGTGTATTAGGTTTCCATATGACCCCTCAAACAGCCCTTAGATTTAGCTGTCTCTCCCTTATTACCTTCCTCACTCCCTCTTCCCTGCCCTTCTCTGCTTGATCCTCCCGTTTCAGTCCCTCTCCTCATCCAAGCACAACTATCTCTTCTATGTTGCCTTGCTAAGGAGATCCGTCCCTTCCCCCAGTCCCTTACTGTCTACCTAACCTCTGTAGTTATATGGATTATAACTTATCAATGACTTTATAAGTAGAATCTACACATGAATGTGAATACATACTGTATTTGTTTTTATGGGTCTGAGTTACCTCATTTAGAATGATTTTTTTCCTAGTTCCATCCATCACCTGTAAATTTCATGACTTAATTTTTTTAATGACTGAGTTATAGTCCATTGTATAAATATGCCACATTTTCTTTATTCATCTATTGATTGATGTCTATATTGTTTCCAACATTCAGCTATTATTAATAGAGCAGCAATGAACATGGTTGGGCAAGTGTCTCTGTCGTTGGGTGAAACATATTTTGGGTATGTGCCCAAGAGTGGTATAGCTGAATCTTGAGGTAGATCAATTCCCATCTTCCCAAGGAACGACCACACTGATTTATTTCCATAGTGTTTGTACAACTTCACACTACCACCAGCACTCATCAAATTTCTTGAGCAGAGAAGATACACAGAAATGTGCAGAAACTTTAAGCAAAGTATTGATTAACACTTGCTAAGTTAACACAGCTATGTGTGCATTACCAGGTCAAGAAGTAAAACATGGCAGCAGCCACTGCTCTCTTGCTTTCCTTCCAGGCATCTGCTTCCTCCTTCCTCCTTAAAGGGGTCACCACTGTGAAATAGAACACCACAGATCAGTTTTGCTGGGCTTTGAACTTCATATGCATGGTATCAAATAGTCTTAGTTAGGGTTTCTATCGCTGCAACAAAACACCATGGCCAAAAAGCAAGTTGGGGAGGAAGGGGTTTAATTTAGCTTACACTTCCACATTGCTGTTCTTCACTACAGGAAGTCAGCACAGGGCAGGATCCTGCAGACAGAAGCTGATACAGCGGTCATGAAGGGGTGCTGCTTCACACAGCTTTCTCAGCCTGTTTTCTTTTAAAAGCCAGGATTACCACCCAGGGATAGTACCACCCACCATGGCCTGGGCCTTCCCCCATGGACCACTAATTGAGAAAATGCCTTACAGCTGGGTCTCACGGAGACATTTCCCTCACTGAGGCTCTTTCCTCTCTGACAACTCTAGCTTTTGTCAAGTTGACACACAAAACCAGCCAGTACAAAGATCAACATGTACTTTTTTGGTAATTGAATCCATTCATTTTACATTATATTTGAGAGAATCACCAATGTCGTGTATACTCGTGGTTAGTTTATTTCCAAGGAGTAGAGCATTCCATTCTATGAGCAAACAACCATTTATAACTGCTCCACTTTTGAGGGCCAGCTGAGCTGTTTTCATCTGGAATTGTCACAAATGAATAGTACTACAATGGATGTGTTTTGTGTTTGTCTTCAGTGAACTCATGTCCTCATTTCTACCAGGAATGGACTTCGTACAGACTCTGTTTAAGTCCAGTAGATGTGGCAGTCATCCCTCCTTCCCCATGGGTGCTCCACTTTCATTCCCATCAGCAGTGTCTATGTAATAGGTCTGGCTTCCACATGCTCACCAATACTAGGTATGGCCTGACATCATCTTGTTCTTGAGAGAACTAAGTTGAACCTCATTTTGATCTCCATTTGTGTCCTTGATGACTGACAGGAATGAACAACTTTTTATATGTTCACTGATCATTTGTGTTGGTTAGTTTTTGTCAAGGGAAGAAGGAACCTTAATTGAGAAGACGCCTCCATCAGAGTAGCTTGTAGGCAAATCTGTGGTGATGTCTCCTTGACCTATGACTGATGTGAGAGGGCCCAGTCCCTGTGGGTGGTGCCATGCCTGGGAAGTTGGTCCTGGGTGTAAAAGAAAACCAGGTGAGAAAAACATAAGCCATCTGCTATGTGGATTTTCTATGGCCTCTGCTTCAGTACCTGCCTCCTAATTCCTGCCTATTTGTGACGGACAGTAGCTGTAAGCTGAAATAACCCTTTCCTCCACCACCCTGCTTTTGGTGGTGGTTTATCACAGAAATACTAAAATCACAAGGAACTTGCCTCTTCAGGATTGTGCTTGTGTTTTTTGTTTTGTTTTGTTTTTCATTTGGGCTCCCTGTTTTTCCTTGTGTAATTCTTTGTATCTCCAGAATAGGTCCCTTTACAGTTATATGTGCTTTGAATCTACTTTGTGTATTCCTTACTTTTCTCACAGTTGTGACAAAAGCAACTTCGGGGAAGGAGTATTTGCTTTGGCTCACAGTGAGGAGCGCAATCATCGTGGCAAGGAAGGCGTGGCCACAGGAGCGTGGAATGTGTGGTCACGGTGAGGGCAGTGGAGAAGCAGAAGGTGAATGCTGTTTCCTCTTTTCACTCAGCCTGTCCTCCAGCCTCTGGCCTGGCACTGCCCTCATTCAGGACAGCACTTCTCACCTCAGTGAAGCCTTTCAGGAAACACCCTCATGGACACACTGCAGAGGCTGACAATGCACCGTACCTGTCCTTTTTATTTAATCTTAATCTTTTGATGGACTAAAGGTTTTCATTTTGATGAAATGGAACTTACATTCTTTATTTTAGTAATTTTTGTGTCTGATTTAGTCTTTGTCTACCTGAAGAGCAAGAACCCTCTCCTCTCCCTTCCCCGCTTCCCTTTTCTTTTCATTTCTTCCTCATTTTAAGAGGCGATGGCACCTGGTGCCCTAGGAGGCCTCTTATCCCAAGCATCCGTTGCCATGCGGGCCTCCGTTGCCATGCGGGCCTGACTTGCTCAGTTTCTGAGATCTGGAACTTTCAGGTGGTTATATTTAAAAAGCTTTTGTATTTAAATCTACAAACCACACAGAAGTTTTGCTTTGGTTCCTGTGTAAGGCAAGGGTTGAGTTTTGCTAAAGCAGATATCCATTTAGCTCATCACCATTTACTGATATGATTATCTTTTCTGAACATCTCTGAGACACTGTATTTGTCATAAATAAAGCACTTACAATGCACAAGTCTGTTTCTGGATTTTAGTGTCCTCCATTGGTTTCCTTGTTGTACTGATGCCACACTGTCTTATTACTGTGGCTTTATGGCATATATCGATATCTGGTTGAATTAATTCTACAACTTTGTTCTGTTTTAAGGTGAGTTTGGATATTTTGGGCCAGCAAGATGGCTCAGTAGGTAAGGACACTTGCTGCCAAGCCTAAGGACCTGAGTTTGATTCCCTAGGAACCATACAGTGGAAGGAGAGAAATGGTTCCCACAAATTGTCCTCTGACCTCCACATGCACACTGTGATACATGATGTCCACAGAATAAAATCTGAAAAATCTAACGTCTTCCTATTTGAGTGTGATTTTATACCACCCAGCTCTGGCTGACATCATGGCATCTTTCCTACATGTCTTTCTCTAAAATGCCTGAGTGTGGTCCTCATAACCACACTAAGCGCTGCCTGCATGTGGCCCACCCACAGTCCTTCTCAGCCTTCCTTCTTTGTCTCAAGATGTCACTTTCTGTGAAGAGCAAACCACAATATCCTGCAAGTGCTTCTCACTAATAATCTCTATTATGCCAGTGGATAAAGTATATGTAATCTTAATATTTCTTTAGGTACTGTGTCAAGTTCTTTGCATGCACTGCCTTACTTAATACTGCCAGTACACTAAGAGGCAGGCACCGTTTATTAACCTTAAGACTGACACATTTTTGCACAGGACTTGGAGGATCCAAACTGGGTCTGACCTGAAAGTCTCTTCCCTAAAGACTGATTTCATGTACCAGATGATGATATGCAAGCTTCCAGGAAAGGGAAGCAGCCAATACTTTTATCCAGCTATGATTCCTATGAACTACAACAACCAGCATGGAAAGATAATTCTAAGATGCAGTAGTGGCACACATACTGTATTGGTAACCAGCAGTTCTCTAACTAAACTTAAGACGCACTTAACAAGAGGGAATGCCTAGAGAGGGAAGTGATTTCCCCCCTGCACTGGTGAATAGCAGAGAAAAGATAATAACTGACATCACTTAAAGTCCATGCTTCTCCTGCACACACTTCAGTTGTAGTACCCAGTAAATGCTGGTCCCCCTATTGCTAAATATGTTTCCTTCCTGTTTCCATTTAACTTTCTTCACAGACTCGTCTATGATGCTAGCTGCTTCTACTTCCCCTTCTCCTCCCCTCCCTGCTCCAACCCAGTCTTACTTCCTCCCTGAAATGGCTCTCTACAAGCCACCTAAACACTCTGCACCTTGCCATTTCTGATGGCTTCATTCCTAAATGTCACCTAAAGACTTGCCTGCTAAAGGGTTGGTAGCCAGCCTATGGCAACACCGGAAGGTGCTGGAATCTTTAGGAGACAGAGGTCTAACAGGAGAAAATTAGGGCATGATCTTGCAGAAAGCACTGGGACTCCTGCCCTGTTTTCGTGCCCTTAGACTGCCCTAAGGTGAACAGTTCCCTCTGCTATGATTCTGCACTTACTGCCACATTGTACTGGTAAAGAGATGAGGATGTGTAACCGTACACTGCAACCTCTGCAACTGTGAATCAAAACAAATGCATAACTTGGTAGTCTCAGTTTTGTGTCACCAAAAAGCTAATATAAAATGTAGCACACCTATAGTTTTCCTGTTTCTCCTCTCTGCCATCTCAGATAGCTTCTACCCCACCTCTGAGGGGTTCCCATGTTTTTAGTCACTCCTTCTTTTGTGTCTGTCCTTACACTCCTTTGAATTTTCTTCTACATCTTTGACAACTCTGTTTTAATTCCTCTCTGTAGGCATTAACCCTTCTATCTGAACAGGAGGTGTTGTACAACCTAAGGTTTGCTCCTTGACCTGTATTTCCCTCTACCCACACATCTTGAAGTGATGACACAATCACATGATCTTGCATCTCATGTTTCTGAAGTCTCCCAAATTAATAGTTCTGAATCTGACCTCTCCACTCAGCTATAGACTTTTAGCTTCCTCCTTGACCCTTCTTTTTGGATGTTTTCTTTTTGAATTCTCTACAAAACAGAGTCGGAGCGGTTGGTTGAAACACTGATAGTATGGAAGAATGAAGTCCAAAGTATTAAGGACAGGAAGTGAGGGAGAAGGCATTAAGCTACATCACCATCGAGTTAACCCTTCACCACCGTCACCTACATCACCTTCCAGCTGCTAAGAGAATCAGAAGGGCACCGAAAAGTTTGGAGGGTTTTTTTGTTTTGTTTTGTTTTTTGTTTTGTTTTTTTTTGAGACATTAGACCTTAGAGTAGTCTTTGGGAGAGGGGAAGCAAAGAACGTACGTGCCTGGCTCTGCTTCAGCTCTCGTTTTCCTTGTTCAGGACTCATGCTGGGAGCTAACTTTGTACTTTCTATATGTATAACCAACCCTGTGGCGTCTCTCAGGGAGCCACCTTGTGGCAATGTTTCAATGAAATCTGAACATGCAAGCGTAGTCTGGAGCAGCCACAGCAGGGGCCTAATGAGATTGTGAAAATGGAGCCGGCTGATGTCTGCGGGCCCGGGCAGGGGTCCCTTTGTCTGTGAAAATGAGTACGGCAAGCAGAACTCTCCACTCCTTTCTCCCAACCAACCTGATCTGCCCCACCACTGTCACCAAAGACTGCCTCGTCTAAGGAAATGGCACCGTTGTTGCCAGTGCTAAACCTTAGCCAAGAAAGCCAGTGTGATAGCCTGTAAACTGGTTCCCTTGCTCCCAAGTTTGGCTTCCTTTGATGTATTCT